CACACACACACACACACACACACACACACACACACACACTCACACCCACCCACACACACACACACACACATAATGCTGAGGGAAATATCTGCAGAATTGGACTCAGCAAGCAACCCTGAGCTTGGAACGTATTCCTCCCCGCTGACGCAAGTCAGCAGGGAGAGAGAAAGAATATGGAAGTCAGCAGGGAGAGAGAAAAAATATGGAAGTCAGCAGAGAGAAAAATTATGGCGGTATATCTTTCCATGTTTTAGCGGAAGGTTCATTCTCATTTTGCTCATTTGGTGAGTAGTGGAGGGAGGCGTTTTGTTGGCAGATGGATAGACCTAAGACCATAGGCATATGTAGGCTGTATTTAGGGAAAAAGGAGGACATCAGTTGCATTCTGGTTATATGAGGGCTACCAGCGGTAATGCTAGCATGAGAACTCCACTGCCCCCCAGAGTGGCATGAAGTGCATGTTTTTTATTTTCCTGGACATATGGCTGCTATGAAAAGGCTGTTATTGTTATACTCAACCAACACACCATGTGAGTGCTTTATTGCAACTTTCTCCAAATTTGTGTGTTCCGGCAATGAGATGGATTTTAGGGTTTAGGATACCTGCTCCCTATCCCATCCCCCTCACTCCTTTTCTTTTTGTTCCTGGATTTGTTTGTTTCTGTTGGTTGTGCTTTCCTCTTCAGCTCCCAGGGATCACTCGTATGTTCCAAAGTACAGTAACAGTGGCATCTGCATGGATTCACCTCTTGGCTGTCGATTTGTTTGCAGCAAGGTAAAGTCAATGCCTCTCACCACTGACTCTGTCCATCTTCCCATTCATAATACTCTTGATAGCTATATGATTCCAGAGGATGATCTGGAATTGGGCGAATCACGTTTATCGAAGTAGATAGTCAACAGTGGAAAGACTGGGCACAACTCAGAAGTGGGGCTCAGAAGGCAGATGACCCAATCATCAGACCTACACGACCCAATACATGCCACCTAGTCTGCTTGCATGTCAGAGAGGAGGAGGTTTACAGGGAAAGGATCAACAGCTTCCAAGTCCAGAGTTCCAAACTTGATAGTCCAAACACTTTCAGGAGCATTTGGTTTCTACATTCCTTTGTCCTTTCTTGATTTCAAGTTAAATTTAGCAGGTTTGGGGAAGCTAACCTGAGAGGAAAGGGTGAGGGAAGGCAAGCTAACAGTCGATCCTCCCTCAGCCATACGGAAGGAAGCGTGAGGGTGTCCTTGTTGTGTATCTGGCTTGCTGGTGGAATAGGAACCGGACTGATGCTCCCCAGAATGGGTATGGAGGCAGGGCCATAAGGACCCTTTTTTTTTCTTTTTTTTTTTAAATAGATAGTCGAGTGGTTGTACGGTTTTCTACCAGCCAAAACTCATTTATGAATGATTACAACATCTGCTGATGTACTTCACAGTTGGCCAGTAGTACCTTCCTTCGGTGTCAGATGTGATGCCGTAGCTGGTCGTTTGAATCTGCAAACATTGTCACTGCAGCAACAGCAAGTCCTAAGGAATGTGATCGAGTAGAATGAACCAAACATCCGCTCAATCTTGCAGCCTCTGAAGTCCATGCCGGTACACAAGGAGGCCACACTCACCGTCAGGAAATTGCTGGCTGGCAGATTCTGTGGGGATCTTCAGTCACTTATTGCTGAACACATGCATCAGGCAAAAAACAGGCTTGGGCTGTTTCAAGCAACATCCTTCCACTTGCAAACTCTCCGGAATGCTAGCTGCCACCAGCTAAGCTGTGGTGCCCTCCCAGTGGCGTCACATTGCCTTTATTGTCCAACCATTGGTCTGAAAGAATACACGCCATGTTAGTCATCGGAACATACATACTTCCAGAAGAAGTCCTGTTATGTAGTGAGGATGCACTATCCAGCACTTGTTGCTTTTCGACTCTTGTGTGTGTTCACATTACCTAACAACAGCTACACATGTTGCCTCTCTCAGAAGACACACATGCAAAGGGCTAATTCCCCACGGGGTTATGGGCCCCGCCAATGCGTCTGCTACTTCCGAGGATAAGGATTTGTCTTGGTGAATGAGGGATTTCAGTCTGGTTTGTCTCTGGACTTCATTCCATTGTCCTACTTTTGTCCTTGTCCGCGTCTATTTACTGTTCTACCCCTTCAGGGTTACTGAAACGCAGCCAGAGAATATAGAACTAGCACGGCAAAACAGACTCAGATTCTGAAATCTCAGCAAATCAGGCCAGCAGACACCGTGAAAAAAAAAAAAAAAAAAAAAAGGTTCTTATGGTCCTGGCTCCATATCCATTCTGAGGAGCATCAGTCCGGTACCTTTTCCACCGGCAAGTCAAAATTTACAATGTAAAGTTTGAAAACACACTTCCTCACAGTTCCTTCTGTTTGGGGGAAGGACTCCTGAGCAGCATTGATTACTCCATAACGGGAGGATTGACTGTCAGCTTGCCATTCCCTTTCCCATCTCTCTCAGACCCTTCCCAAGTCTGTCAGAAAAATAATAACAGAAATCTCAGACTGCAACTGTGCGGGCTGTTGCACCTTCAGAAACCCAGGCTCCGGTTTATTGGTAGGGGGCATCACTTTGGAGCGAAACAAACACTCTCTAAGCAGGAAACCGCATCCTGTGCCACTTTCCCCTCAAGACATACCAACGCTTCCCTCTGTTACAACTGAGGGACCCAACTTGCAGGGATTAATTGCTCCCTAAATAGGAGAACAAAATTCAATAAATTGAATAATAAAATATACCTGGAATGCGACCCTGTTCCTACCCATGCCAGGTCCGCTGTGAGAAAAAAAAACTCCAATCCTTCCTTACTCATCTTGAACACTGGTCTTCATATTATTGCCAGAAAAAGAACCCCTTTTGTTTTGTTTTGTTTTGTTTTGTGCTCTACTTTTTTCATTCTTTCGCTCCATTCTGTTCGTTGGAGCTGCAGCTGCTGGAGAGCGAACCCATCTTCCCATAAAGGATGTTGGGAACGAGGGAAACAGAAAATGAATCTTATATGCTCGCAACCCGCCTTGCTACTGTTTTTTCTTTTACCCACCACATACTTTCAAGACAAATAAATGCTCGATAAGTATCTATTCCTCCAGCAAGCTCAGATTCGGACCTCAACCATTTCCTGCTGCCGGTGTGGTTCTGTTTACTATATTGAAACTGATGATTTGTGGCTTCCTTTAGAGGCTGAAACACCCCCCCCCCCCCCCCCCCCCCCCCCCCCCCCCCCCCCTTGCAAGAAATCTTGTAGCTGACTAAGTCGAACATGTGAATGGAGTTGGTTAACGGATGAGCAGATGAGGAGTTGGGTGTGGGACAGCCTTTTGCTGCTGTGCTTGTTTTCCCTCATAAGGGATGCGAAAGCGTCAAGCGTGTCTTTTACACATTCATCCCAGAAAGTTGATGAAGCGGCGCCTGTGGCCCAAGTACCGTCTGAAACCTTGCAAGGTACAGAGATGTGCGGGCACGCACACGAAGAAAACACCTTCAGGAGCATTCGCTTGAAGATTGATGGTTGTGGCCGTGTCATCCCTGGTATTGTGTGCAGGCATGTCTTTTTGGATGGACTGAACAGTTGCATTGAGACAAGACACACACTTGTATTATGCCTTATGTTTGGCCCGATTGGCATCTTCTCGCACTTTGTCACCAAGGCAAGTCTCTCTCTCTCTCTCTCTCTCTCTCTCTCTCTCTCTCTCTCTCTCTCTCTNTCTCTCTCTCTCTCTCTCTCTCTCTCTCTCTCTCTCTCTCTCTCTCTCTCTCTCTCTCTCTCTCCCACATATTTGTGCCTCTTGTTCACACCTCTTCTGACCTCTCCGTTTTGCTATTGGAATCCCCGTATCCACCCAGTTGTTGTGCTTGTCTTTCTTGGGTTTCTCTGCAACTTTCGTTGTGCAAGAAGCAAATCCAAAATGGTTACATCCTGTCACATTTATGCTGTGTGTTTTACATGACTGTACTGTATGTTGAGAGTAGAATGACAATCACTGCCTATAGTTTGACTACCGTCTTCACCCGAATACAACGCCCGGTCATTATAGCTGCATTTGGGCCAACTTTCAGTCCAGATGCAGCAATAATGACCGGGTGTTCTATTCCGGTGAAGACAGTAGTTTTTTCAGCTCCTCCCACCGGCTCTGTATAGCCTTCCACCTCTTCCTTGAATCCCCTCTGAACCACTTATACCCCCAAACCCTCCCTGTGTTTCCCACACCGAACTGAAAGATAAGGGTGGATTCTGGCTGCTCAGGGCAAGTGCAGACCTGCCAGGCAGTCAGTCTTTTCTTTTTTGCCGGATTCTTGCCCATTTTGGACCTACCTGGTTTACCCAGCTCATGTGGCTGAATGATACATGTTAACTGTCAATAAGCAGACCTGAGTTTGAAATTTTGAATCCTGATGGAATGATATTATGATAATTACGAGATTAATTATTTCTGAATTACCTGGGGCTTGTCAGTTTGATGATGATACCTTCACCTGGGTGGAACCAGTCTCGTCCGCTTGGGGCGGGCCTGGGCAGCCTGCGCAGCCTGGTCCGTCAGCCTAGTAATTAATAATTATGCATTTCTGTGGTAAAGACATTCGAGCTCTCCAGATGCATGCTGCATGCCATATATATTATATATACTAGAAAAGCCTGAAGAGGGCCCATCCTATCGAGGTGGTTTAGAGCACCTCCTAGAGTACCGGGCGGCCTTGGCAAGTCAGGCAGGTGCCATAATTGGTGTTGGGCCAATGTTGGACCAGAACAAGTGTTGCCCCAACGTTGAGGCCATTTTCTGAAACCATCAGACCAACTAATCTTGGCGAACCGTTTGGGTTTGTCCTTTACCCCAATTTGTCTGCACCTCTGACGAGAGTTTGAATTTTGAAGGCATGCAGTGGTGCTGTCATGGAAGAAACCATGAGAAATCTGAACCTCTGATGACAATGGTTACGGGTTTGGGACATAGGTTAAATATGGAACGATACAGAGAAGATTACGATGGCCCCTTCACGATAAAAATGGGTGGTTCTCGGGTAGGGTAGGGTAGGGTTACCTAGTGATAGATTGGTGTTGGGTCTCTTGCTGTGTTTTTGCAACGTTTTGGGTCAAGCCATATTTTCTGAGAAATGCTGCTACTGCCTCCGTGAGGAAAGGAAAGGTTGGGGATGGTACGGGGTCGGGGTCACACGGGGAGGGTCACCAAGTTGTCGATTATTGTTGGGTCCGCAGTTAGGTCTCCAGGTTGAGGGGTATTTTACTATTTTATGAGAAATGTTGCTACTGCCTCCATGACAAAAAAAGAAAGGCTGGGAATGGTATGGGATCACCCTGTCTAGCAGGTCCCCCACTGATGGGACAGAAGGTTAAAGTAGTAAAAAAATAGAGGAAAGGAAAGGTAGTACGGCATAGGAAGAAGAGTTTAAGCCTTTAAGGACATTGAGAAACTAAACTGGGAGGACCCTGAGGATATTGGAGAGCTGGGAGAAAAAGAGGTTAAAGATGGAAACCGGCGAAGGTAAAATAAATAAAAAAAAGCAGAATAGAGAGAGGAAGGGGGTAAGCGTTGGGTAAGAAGGGTAATAGGAAGACCCGGCACTACCGGAAGGGGATGTGCGATGTACTCCACTCTTGGGCAGCGGTGAAAGACCGGCGGCGGGG